TGCTTGGGCATAAACGTGTATGTGGAGGTCATATGAAGTAGATTTCAGATATTGGGCCATCTCCTTCCACCCCTGGGGTTTATTCCCAACTATCCAGTGCTTAAGAAGACCTCCCCTCACTGGGAAGCCAGGAGTCTTTCTTCATCGGTGAGCAGCTTCTGCACTTACTGGAGCAGTTGGCAGCAATGCCTGTGGGCAAAACGAAAATGGGTTTTCTTGACATCACTGCAAATATGTTGGTATTCTGGACACTCCTGGAAGGAGTGATTGCGAGACTGCAAGTCCTGGTGATGAAGGAAGCATTGCATTTCCTCACTAATGCAACACAATTACTGCTGTTCATTTTTCACTTTAGGTGAGAAAAAGGGAAATCTAACTCTGGGAGTTTTTTTTTTTTAAGTGTGTTTTTTCAGGGGAAGGGAATATAAAGAAGTAAACTCTTGAACCTCTCGACATTTACACATTTTTATCTCAATCTGATCATTAGCATGAAGAGCTTCATTTTTTCCCCCCTGCCTGGAATTTGAGATATCACTGAGAAACATCTGGGAGATTTTTAAAAATTATATTGAAATTAATTTAAGGCTATATGGGTTTTAGCCATCAGAAAATATTCTCTTGGAAGTTGTCTTGCTTAAAATAGTTTCAGTCAATAAATTCCATATCAAGCAAAGTTTTTTCCAGTTATTTCAACAGTTCCCTCTTTATTTTATGAATTTATTATACTACCTTATTTACCATATGAAATGGTGACAAATGTTTAGCATTTTGGAGATCAGTTGTCAGTTGCTATTAAAATCAAGATTAATTCATATTAACGATATGCATTTCTCAATACTCCCAGGTGACAACATACATTAAAACAACTATTACAAGTAATTAAGCTCAATAAAGGAGGAGGGGACAGGGAGAGTTTCAAAACACCTCCAATATTTGATTTTGCAATCCAAGTTCAGCAGACTGTTGCCACAACAATGCTTGGGAAACTCCTCAGGGTTGCTTTTCACTTTACATCTAATTAGGCACCTAATGAAAGAGAAGAATTTTTTCCCCATGTGGTTTTTTCTCCTTAGTATTCCTTTTTTCCTTAATTTTTTTCTTAATCCCTTCATCTTTTTCATCCAGTCCTCCAATCCCCTTTCCTCTAACAGTTGTCAGTCTGTTCTCTGTATCTATAAATCTGTTTCTATAGTGTTAATTACTTTTGTTCATAAGATTCCACATATAAGTGAAATCATATGGTACTTGTCCTTCTCTGATTGGCTTAGTTCACGTAGCATATTACTCTCCAAGTCCATCTATGCTGTCCCAAATGGTACAATTTCCTTCTTCTTTGTATTCTTTTTGTTTTTGTTTGTTTTATAGCTGAGTAGTATTCTATTGCATAAGTGTACCACTGCTGTCTCATTCACTCATCTATTAATGGGCACTTAGACTGCTTCCAACTCTTGGCTATTGTAAATAATGCTGCAATGAACACAGAGGTGCATATATTCTTTTGAATCAAGGTTTCTTCAGATATATTTCCAGAATTGAAATAGCTGGGTCACAAGGCAGTTTTGTTTTTAATTTTTTGTTGTAAATCCATACTGTTTTTCACAGTGGCTACACCAATATGAATTTCCATCAACAGTGCACCAGGGTTTCCCTTTCTCCATATTTTTGTCAGCACTTGTTGTTGGTTGATTTATTGATAGTAGCCATTCTGGCAGGTAATACCTTTTATTGTAGTTTTAATTTGCATTTCCTTAGTGATGTTGAGCATCTTTTCATATGTCTATTGGCCATCTATATATCCTCTTTGGCGAAGTGTCTATTCAGATTCTTTGCCCATTTTTTAATTGGATTGTGTGTGTGTGTGTGTGTGTGTGTGTGTGTGTGTGTGCTGAGTCTTCTTGGTATTCTTACACCTTAACTTAAACACACAAACAGATTGCTTAGGAGATGCAATACCCAAAGTTTCTCCTGTGATTCACTTAGTATTGTAATCTGGGTAAACTAGGTAGATGCATATATTTGTCTTTCAATTACTATCTTCCTGCATTCTCATGAGCCATGTTAACCTTACACAGAATTGATAGAAAACATACCCAAAATATTTTAATGGGTTTTTTATTAGGCTTTAGAGATGCTCAACAGTTTATACTAATTAGACTATCCAAAACCTTTTGAAGATTAAGCAAATTGGACAACCCTTGTTAATTAGAACATAATTTAAAGTTTGAAATTATATCACTGATGAAGTAGTCTAATTAGTATGACAATATGTTAATGGGCAAGTGAGACACAGCAACAGTGGAGTTTGGTGTGAACCTCCTCTCTAAGGCTTGAACAAAAATCCTCCCTCCAATGCTGGCATTAATAAAAGATTTCTATAGACTCCAGCCTTTCTATGATGACATATAATTTATAGTACATACAATGTATTAGCCCATAGTGTTGCTCAATATTTTCACTATTATGAAAACTAATAAATTCGTCAAGCTGAATTAAGCATACAAATCAGATGAGGCATAGCAGATTACACAGTGAAGCGCGGTGTCTCCCGAGCCTAAATGAAATTTCAATCTAATAATTCCTTCCTGGCCCAGTGATAATTTGTTTAGAGATGTTGCTCTACTTCTTTCAAAGCGCTGTTCGCACTATAATTAAATGATACTCAAGCTTTTAACTTTGATTTATTTCATTTCTCGAAGCTTGAGACAGTGAGAGCTGTACAATGTCATTTTTTTTATTTCCTTGAAAATTACCGTGGCTGTTGTTGGTATAGAAATTAAACACCTAAAAATTTACTTGAACTGTCCCAGGCAAGCCACATTCATTTATGTCAACAACCCCTCTCCAGTCCCGTGTCCAGGCCGCTGGGTTCAGCTACTGAAGGTAGGAGGAATCCCCTTTGGCTACTATTTACATAGCCAAATAAGGGAGGAGAAAGGCAAACCTGGGAGCAGCACAGGAAAGTGCAAGGGGCTTAAGGACCATGGACAGTTCCCGTCGCCTGCAGTTAGCAGCATCTTCCCAGGGCTGGCTTGTAGCAAGGTCTATGCTTCCAATTTGATCCTGCCTCCCGCCCCGCTGAGGTCAGGGGCCAACCGGCGACCCCTTTCTTGCTGCTGCCGCAGGGCTTCCGGGGGCTGACCACTCGATGGCCCCCCTTCGCCACGCTTCTTCCCACTCTGTTTTGTCCCAGGGCGCGCCAGCGCCTCCCAGGCCTGCCGCCTGCTCTCGCACCTGCTTGCCTTCCCCAGGCACTGTATGCCTGCACCTGCTCCCAGCCACCCCGTCCTGGCTGGGCCACCCGCCGGTTCCAGCGTAGGGACCTTCTCACCCTCGCCTGCACCCCGCACCTTCTGCGCTCTGGGGAGGCGACAGCGGCCCCTAACACCAAGGAAAAGTAGAAAGAAGGCACCAGAGCGGGGAGGAGAGGAAGGCTGTGGTGTGTGTGTGTGTGTGTGTGTGTGTGTGTGTGTGTGTAGGAGAGGCAGTCTCCTTCTTTTACAATTGGAACAGTGTGTGTCCACTTCTAAGAAAAGTGGTACCCACTGGGACAAAAGTATTGGCTAAAAATAGGCTACCTCTTCACCGAGTGGCTGTGGAAATGAAGATAAGTGGGACTTGTGCCAGCCCCTGAGGGCGTGTGTGTGTGTGTGTGTGTGTGTGTTTTGGGATGTGTGTGGGGAGTTCAGCAGCACATGCGCTTTTTGGTCTCTGGCCCTGCCTCTCCCTCTGTCATTTGCCCCTTCCTCCTTTGATAGTGGCTAATGAAGAATAATAAATCCAATGGCAGGGTTTGCCCATGGATCCGCCCAAGACCCAACTCACACTGAACTGGATACAGGGAGGAGGAGGAGAAAGATCCGCAGGAAAGAAAAGAGGGTGGAGAGGAGTGTGTGTCGGTGATGGTGCTGGGGGAGTACGCGGGGACAAGGGGCGGAGGGGGGAGTCGCATGCGCACAGGCGACCCGAGCTTGCTCAGAGGCCGTCCAATCCGCTGAGAGCGGAGACAAGCCGAGGGAGAGAAAGCCCTGAGCCCTGTAGACCCCGTCTCTTGGGCACCAGGCACCCGCCGGGCCCAGGGGGCGCAGAGCAGATCACCCACCACTGTGCGCGCATCAGACGGGAGCGCAGAGCAGCGAGGAGGAACCCGGTCCAGGGCAGCAGCATCCGGGCCCACCAGGGTGGCCGGGAGCCTGGGCTCAGGGTCACCCGAGCTGCGGGGCGGGCCAAGTGGGGGCGGAGGCATGGAACTTAGCAGTAAACAGGAGGTGCGGGAGGCAGCCAGGTAAGAGAGGCTCTTAGCAGTCTAGAGAAAACCCCACTCCAGGTTGGCTTGGCCCGCAACTTTACTTAGGAGTTTCGTTTCACGGTGAGGTGCGTGGGTCTCCAGGAGGGGCCGGAGCCCAGCTCCTAAGGAGGAACTGCCCCGGGAGGGACTGGAGTGTAGACCTGGCCAGGGGGTGGGGTGGAGAAGACACTAAGGTAAGTGGGAGCTGCGGGGCGCTGCCAGAAGGGGCGGTGGCATCGGAGGGGGCTGGAGCCCAAAGGGAAGGAAGGTGGAGGGCGCGGTAGGAGAGCAGGAGGCGGGTGTCTGGAGCGCTGAAAGGGCCGGAGCCTCGAAGGAGCACGGGCGAAGAAGAGAAGATAGACTCGAAAGAACGAACAGGGGAGGGCGGAGGCGCGCGGGAGGGCGGGCGGGAGGGGGTGCGGGGGCAGGCGCAGGGAGAGGCGAGTATAACTCCGCCGCCGAGAAGCGCGGGGGCAGTTTCGGGCGCCCAGGTCTGCAGCTAGCGCCTGGCAGAGCCTAGCCCCGGAGCAGACCGACGCCGGAGCCAGCGGAGGAGCGCGCAGCCGGGGCCAGAGGCGCCGAGCTCGGGTGAGCGCAACTTTGCACCGCCCGTCCCCGCGGCCGGCCGCGCTTGACCAGTGTTCTGGGGAGGCTCCCGGCGGCAGCCGGGGTCACTTCTTGGCGCTCCGGACCTGCGCTCCGGCCGGCCGGGAAGATGATGATGATGTCCCTGAACAGCAAGCAGGCGTTCAGCATGCCGCACGGCGGCAGCCTGCACGTGGAGCCCAAGTACTCGGCCCTGCACAGCGCCTCTCCCGGCTCCTCGGCCCCCGCGGCGCCCGCGGCCAGCTCTCCCGGCAGCTCCAGCAACGCCGGCGGCAGCGGCGGCGGCGGCGGGGGCGGCGGAGGCCGGAGCAGCAGCTCCAATAGCAGCGGCAGCGGCGGCGGCGGCGGCGGTGGCGGCGGGGCTTCCGAGGCGATGCGGAGAGCGTGTCTTCCAACCCCACCGGTGCGTATTCCTGCATAATCACCGCTTAGAGGCACATTTTGACAGCCCCCTTTATCTGCTTGATGTTTTTTTCATGTCTGCACAGCAAATCACCCCACCACACCTCCCAACCAATTTCTCTCTCTCTCTCCCCCCCTTTCTCTTATGTATTCAGCGGGTCTTTCCTTTCATATTAATTTTTATGACCTGGGATGTTGCCTGTGCGCGCGCTGTGTTGTGTTGTGTGTTGTGTTTTTTTGCAGGCTCACATTCCTCCTCCTCGTGCGCGCTCAGTTTTTCTCTGGGTGGCTTGCTGCCTCTCCTCCTCACCTGCAATTTTTTCAGGATTGTTAATCCTGTTGATACTAATTATTATTATTTTAACGTCCTGGGGATGTTGTAAGCGCGCCGGCAGCGGTGTGGAGAGGAGAAGGGCCGGGGCTTCCTTCCGGAGAGAGCGCGCGCACAATTCCCTGTTGAGCGTAATGTGTGCCTTTTACTTGCAATTGCAGAGCAATATATTCGGCGGGCTGGATGAGAGTCTGCTGGCCCGAGCCGAGGCTCTGGCGGCCGTGGACATCGTCTCCCAGAGCAAGAGCCACCACCACCACCACCCGCCCCACCACAGCCCCTTCAAGCCGGACGCCACCTACCACACCATGAACACCATCCCGTGCACGTCCTCCGCCTCCTCCTCGTCGGTGCCCATCTCGCACCCGTCCGCGCTGGCGGCGGCGGGCACGCACCACCACCATCACCACCACCATCATCACCACCACCAGCCGCACCAGGCGCTGGAGGGCGAGCTGCTGGAGCACCTGAGCCCCGGGCTGGCGCTGGGTGCCATGGCGGGCCCCGACGGCGCCGTGGTGTCCACGCCGGCTCACGCGCCGCACATGGCTACCATGAACCCCATGCACCAAGCGGCGCTCAGCATGGCCCACCCTCACGGGCTGCCCTCCCACATGGGCTGCATGAGCGACGTGGACGCCGACCCCCGAGACCTGGAGGCGTTCGCCGAGCGCTTCAAGCAGCGGCGCATCAAGCTGGGGGTGACCCAGGCGGACGTGGGCTCCGCGCTGGCCAATCTCAAGATCCCCGGCGTGGGCTCGCTCAGCCAGAGCACCATCTGCAGGTTCGAGTCCCTCACGCTGTCGCACAACAACATGATCGCGCTCAAGCCCATCCTGCAGGCATGGCTCGAGGAGGCCGAGAAGTCCCACCGCGAGAAGCTCACCAAGCCCGAGCTCTTCAACGGCGCCGAGAAGAAGCGCAAGCGCACGTCCATCGCGGCGCCCGAGAAGCGCTCGCTGGAAGCCTACTTCGCCATCCAGCCGCGGCCCTCCTCCGAGAAGATCGCCGCCATCGCCGAGAAGCTGGACCTTAAGAAAAACGTGGTGCGAGTCTGGTTCTGCAACCAGAGGCAGAAACAGAAAAGAATGAAATATTCTGCGGGCATTTAGGAGAGACCCTTGGCCTCTCCAGGGACACAACCCCCTCCTCATCCCCTCTTTTTTCCCCCCTCCCTCTCTCCCCTGCCTCTTTTCTTTCCTCGTTTGGCGACCAGAAAATAATTCCAGTCAATGTGAATCCACAGAAAAGTGGGGGATTGGAGAGGGAGCGCGCAGCTGAGCCGCAAGCCCCGGTGAGAATGTGAAAACGACGACTCCTGAGAGGAAAGAAAAACAAAAGAAGGGATTTGTCCAGTTGCAGCAAAGTTGTCCCTTTGAACCCCATCCCACCCCACCCCGGAAAAGGCACCTGGACTTCTGCGGAGGAAGTCTGGGAGCCGGCTATTTGCGGGAAGGCAGAAGAGATAACCTTTTGAAAGGCCCTCCAGAATGATCAAGTAAGATTTGTTTTTATTCCTAAAGACATCACCCTTGCTCAAGTTTAAAAGTACACGTTGCAGCTATTTTTCAGAAATAGAAATTGATTCAGGACTGAAACTTTAAACTAGAGTTGATGCTTAATGTGACAGAGACATCTCTAAAGTATTTTGAATTTTAAAAAAAAGATGGCAGATTTTCTGCATTTACACTGTATATTATATATATATTTTTATTGTGGTTCTTACCCCCCCCCCTTCTTCCTTCTTTGAAGTGTTAATGCTTAAGAAAGGAGTTGCGCCTGCTGTGTTCACTGATCTTGAAAGCTATTATTAGATTATTGCCGCACAACCCTCTGTAAATTATTAATTTATCTCTCTGGCAACTTAATTTGTAAACATCCTAATTAATTAAACTTCTTTAGTCTTTAAAATGGGGGGAATGTATGGCTAGTGAAGTTAAAAAATGTTTATGTTTGATGAGTCTACTGAGTTTTTACAGTTTTCCTATTAACACTGTGTTTCTTTCAGCCCATTTGTATATGCTCACTTGGAATGAAAAATTTTTTTCTTTGTTTTTACTGGTAGTGTTCTGATTTGTGAGTTGACACTCAGTAATGGATGTCTTAATCGTGTAGACCTGTTTCACTGTCCAAAGTATTGTTTACTTTGTTACATATTTAATGGGGATTCCCACATTATCCCCACTGTACATGCTCTTACACACCCTTTTACACACACACACACACACACACACATACACATACACACACACCTCTAATGGGAGAGAAGAAGTGAAGCTGTTGGAAACATGACTATAATGCATCATTTTCTAGCTTTAGGCGCATTTGTCATTTGGTGTTTGTTCTTCCAGATTCTCAGATTCCACCAAGGTATTTCAGTCTTCTGGTTTTCAATTGCTTTGTTAATTACATTTTAACATTTACAGGATTCCTTCCATTTTTCCTTTTGGAGGTTTGTTTGTAGAAAACTAATTTGAACTTTAAGAAAGACAGTGCACTGCTTGTAAATTCACATTGTTTGGTAAAATTCTTTTGGAACAAAAAAAATGGGTACACAACGACTGGTACCTTATCTATTGTAAATATTTCATTCAAAACGATACACATATATTCTTACAAATTTTGCTGTATTGCTGTTCCATCTGAGGATCTCTGAATTCTTGAGTTCTGTATATGATCTGGTTTCTTGTTTTTGTTAATAGATGGTTTATTTACTATGGTAATGTATTATTTCTGGTGTTGTTTGATTGTCATTGAAGAGATGATTTTAATGTTTTATTGGCAAAGTATGCTGCTTTTTCATTAAAATGTGCTATTAAAATTAAATGGCTTTTAAAACGTGATGTTTTAAATCATTTACATTGGAATTATTTTGATAGGGAATTTTTAAAAGCAGAAACACATCTTATAGTTTATTATAGAGAAGCTAATTAATTATTATCAAAGTCTGACTTGGATTTAGTAGGAGGTGTTTCTCTAGAAAAATATAAAATGATGGGGTTTTCATGGCCTCCTAACAGTCAGAGCTCATCTCACAGGGTGCTCTGCCCAGTGGAGATGATGATATGTGACTCTAAATACCTCCTCAGAAGGTATTTAGAGTCACAGGTCCTTTCCCTGAATCTGCAATAATTCTGCAAAGAGATCTTTGTGAGCCGAGGTGTTGCATGAGTAAAAGGAAGAAAAAGACTCAGTCTGGTTTTCAGCAGCACTGGGAGACTGGGTATGTCAAGAGTCAAGACTTAGTTGTGGGGATAGGACACTCTGGTTGAGGCCTATGGGCTGTTCCACCATAAGTCCTCAGTTTAGCTACCACTCCTGGGAAGCAGTGCCCCCAAACTGAAGCAGGAAGTACAGTCTCTCTCCCTCTCTCTCTCTCTCTCTCTCTCTCTCTCTCTCTCTCTCTCCCTTCCCTTACTCCCTTCCTCCTTCCCATTTTCCCTTCCTTTTCCCACACCTTTACGGAAAACCACATTCTACAATATGAAGAGTGGGATTGAGGAGCAAATTATTGCCTAGGTCATTAGAAGGAGCAAACTATTGCCCCCTTTCTATGACTCACACAGATAATCAGAGTTGTTGGAAGTCTATCTAACAGTGGTCTGGCACTAAGAAATTTTGCATATTTGTTACACAGACTTTTTTTGTGATCCTAGTTTAAAGATACCTCCTTACCCATTTTAACAAGTTTAAGACTACTTATAACAGTTGAGCAACATATTAGGGATTCAAATGGTCTACCCCTCCCTGCAGGAAAGCTCTGGTTTAGATACCTGCATTATTAATGATGAAACATCATACTAATCTATAAGTCCAACAAGAGAGGAAATAGGTCATCCTCCAGGGGTAATTCTGCTAACTTGAGCTGTGACCCTTCTAATATGGAATTGTCTGGGGATATTTCTTATTTTGAGGATGAGGATAAGAAATATCCTATGAGTCAATGAAAATTGTTATAGTGACTTAAGTTGGGGTTAAACGTTGTTGGAAAAATAATTGTGATTTTCAGATATAACAAAAAGAGTCCTAAAAGTTGGATGGGTAATGAGGAGAAGAATTTATATTTCTGTATCTGAAATAAGGAGACACTTGAAGAAACCAAATCCACGTGTCCATTTCAAAATAATGGGATGCATTGCATAGATGCCTAAGGAAATTAAAAGCTGTAGGAATTTAAAAGAAAGAATTGTGAATTAAGATATAGTGATATCCATGGTTTAATATTAATCCTGTGTTTCGGAGTTTGAAAACTCCTTCTTCCATCTCATTCCCTATTCTTAGATTCAGTTTTTCTGAAAGTCTTAAAGCAGCCAATCTCCAATTTCACTGTGCTGGATACTGATTTCAGCACCACGGATAGCAACCACATGACTGGGCCCTACTCCAGCATGTTTTGACCAACAGTTCTAGCCACTTGGGGAACTTTCTGCTTGCTTATTTTTTAATTTTTTAATTTTATTTTTTGCAGAGTGAGTGAAATGAATTGGTTGAATATGTAGCAAATCAGGCTTGCTAATCTAGGATAAAAATTGTCTTCAATAAATAGCCCCTCCTCCTTCCTATATGTGACTGTTATCTAAGGGTCTAGAATGTGTGCATTAAGAGATAGGAGAGTCAGTTAGGGGGAAAAACAAGTGAGCTAGTTTTCTTTCTACAAATATGAAACCTTCAAATAAAGAGAGAAATCCAGTGGAAGTAGTATAAGTTGAGAAATATATTGAATAGAAAAGAAATAGGTGTCCTCTTGAATGCATTTTGAAGTACAAGGGTAACCACTCCCTCACCTCTCTTGCCTACAAGATGGAAGTTATATCCATTAATGAAGCCTGCTTAAATGTGTTTGCTTTATGGGGAGAGCAGAATTTTAGAAAAAAAATATATTCTGAAAGATTTTATTAATGAAACTTGCAGAGATATACCAAAACAAACCAAAAAGAGATTTGGGATGAAGAGAATTGTTCTTAAAGAAATGAAAAATAAGAATAGAGTGAATCATGTATACATTGTTGAGAAATATCCATTTGGTTTTGACTTTCAAAATACTCAGATGGATAAATAGCAAATTAAGGCTGAAGATCTTTGTCATATCAATCAAATCCACTGGTATTCATAACTCCTTTTCTAACTCCTTTACTTCCTCAAGATTCACAATACTTTCTATTGGAAATTGATATTTATATATTGAATTAGCAATACACCTAGTCATCCTCAGTTTTATATTTCAGAACTTTGTAGTTTATTTTTAAAACTTCTTTAAGGCAAATGATTCAATCCTTTTGTGATTATTCAATCCCAAGTGATTATCCAAATCTAAATTAGAATGGAATAAATGACTAACAGCAAAGATCATGTAAGGGCTGATTGTTACCTAAGTACTTTCCCCACCAATTGGATTACAATATCATCTAGAAAAATGCAGTTTCCTTTGGATATTTGACATTAAATCAGTTGGTCAATCTTTTGTTAGACTAAGTTTCATTGACAGATAAACTTGGGAAAAAACAGAACTATGCAAAAGCAAATGAAAAAAAGATTTATATTCAGTGAAATACTCTCCTGTTTTTTCTATAAAATGCATTTTAAAATAAATAACAAAACATAACTAAGTCTTTTCTCAGTAAAAGACAGATTCTGAGAACTCTCTCTGCCAATAGAATTAGAATTTGTAGGGTAAACATACTTTATTTTAAACTTAAAATGAATACATTACTTTTGATGTATTCGTTTGGGAATCTCTGAGGAAATGGTGAAAAACACATTAAATTTTTAACTTGATTTTAAAAGACATTTTAATAAAAAAAAAAATAAAGCTCAAAATATTCTAGGAAAGCCATGACAGTAAGTTTAGAAATTCATCTTTTCAATTATTTGTTGAAAATAATTTATATCTCCAGGTATAAATGGTTCACATTAGAACTCAAAACATCATGCACTTAACTTTGCAGTTGGCTTGGAGGGAGGGGCTGCTACAGAAGGAAAAAAGTTGTATCCTGATGGAACATCAAGAAAGACAAAGGTTCCAGATGAGTATGATAGAAATGCTTCTGAAGTCTATATTTGTCAGGAGACAGATTTATGGCAATGAGGGGGGAAAAAAATCCTGCTTTGCCCC